TCCATCCGTCTGTCCGTCCGTCTGTGCACACGATAACTCGAGTAAAAATTAATATAACTTAACGAAACTTGGTACGTGTACTTCTTTCGGGCGTAGGACGGACGGTATTGAAAATGGGAAAAATCGGACAATAACCACGCCTACCTCCCATATAACGGTAATTTAGAGAAATACAAAATCTTTGATAAATCAGTAAATATTAAATTTATTCAAAATTGATGCTTGCAACAATCCTTTACCAAGAAATATGCTTATGATAAAATTTTGGAAAATGGGCGTGGCACCGCCCACTTATGATCACATATATATATATATCGGTAACCGTTCAACCAATTTGTACCAAACTCGGTAATTTTATTGTGCTTGCCACATAAAAGCAAAACGCTGAAAATTATTGAAATCGGACTAAAATTCCGGCCGCTTTTCATATAACGGTAAATTTCAGATATGCTTGAAACTGCAATATTTCGAAATTTAAGGACGCTAATTTACTCAAAATTGATACACCCCGGCTAACCATCTAGCGGTAGGTTTCGAAAAGGTGAAAAAACATTTATTTAATATTTACTTGTTATTCGTTCATATAAAGCAGTGGATGAAAATGTATGTATATGCGAAAGCCAAATTTATCTTTATGAAAGAACACAACTAATATTTCCAACCAAACAGCGATTTACATCTTTTATCTCGCTTCCGACACAGAATTGTTTTCGTACAAAATTAGGCAAAAAAGCTGTTAATTTCGTACTCGTTCGTTTTTAGACATGCCAGCAGCATATTATTCCTACGATTCGTAGTAAAATCCGGGTACGAAAGAATTGCAGAATAGGGGCGATAATTTCCACGCCCTCTACTCTTGTAGGCGGAAACCTTATATTTCCTCCGAATTCGATTAAGCTTAGTTTGTACTCTCTCCAAACTGGGAAAGATCGGATCACTATAACGTCTACAACTCGCAAAACATGTGGACCTAATCATTAAATGTAACGTAATTTTGATTAATTTGGTTTCCACATAAATATGTAGATACATAGGTGTATATATCCTCTTTTCCCCCAATGTTTAATGAGATTTTGCTAAAAAATTTTATTTGCAAAATTACGCTAAAAAGGGGGTACACCGGAATATTGATGGCAATTGCAAAGTTGACGAATTGGCAAGGAAAGGTGTGACCACTCAAAACTTCCGTGAAAGGACACGTTAGATATAGCAATAGCCACTTTCAAGTAGTTTGTTAGAGATCACACTATTCTAGTAACCAAGGAACGCGGGAAAAACTTTTTTCCTGGTGAATTTTTCACGATTAACTGGTATTTCTATAAAATTAAACACTTACGGGGCACTTCCTAATGTGGACTCAAAACATGTGACATGTAGTACCGAGTCGAAAAAGTCACCAAGTTGAAATATAAATTACCAAATTTGATCAATAAAGAATAAGATTACCAATTTTGGTTAAAAATTACCAAAGCGTCAACGCTGGCCAGAGCAGCATTTTTCAGTTTAGACAAAAGAATCTAACAAGGTTGGTCTAGCGGCGAACGAGGACAAGACAAAGTACCTCCTGACAACGCATACAAAGTCTTCGCGTTTTGCGACACACGTCACTGTTGGAAGTCATAACGTTGAAGTAGTGAAGAACTTTGTTTACTTAGGATCCAGCATAAACACCACCAATCATGTCAGTGTGGAGATAAAACGAAGAATAACTCTTGCCAACAGGTGCTACTTTGAGCTCGGTAAGCAATTGAAAAGCAGAGCTTTCTCTCTATCACACACAAATATCTCATCCAGGGCTGCCAGACGTTCAGAGTCTAAAATCCGTACTCGGACAAAAAGTGGAGGGTGAAAAATCCGTACAAAATCCGTACGCTCAAATTTGTTTGGGGAGGAAAAAAATCGTTTGTACATACTTAGGTGAACACAGGAATCATACTTTTAATAACATCAAATAGAGCAACACACAAACCCTATTATCTTTCATACTAGAACTTTTTAAGAAGCCGTGTGTTCTTGATTTATGTGCATGTAACAAAACTTAACAGGTAGGTTGTCGACCCCACCGAGTAACAGTATAATGTTTGAAGCGATGGGTAAAGTATAAAAAATAAAGAAATTTTTTTTTAATGTTACGCGACAAAAACTCCCAACAATCGAGGTCTACCAATAGATTGTTATACATAGTTTTAAAGGCCTATAAATCCTCTTCTCATGTTTGATTTTTAAAATCGGGTGAGAAATGTTCAAGCTGTTAATAGATAAGTCCCTCAAGTACAAAAATAACGCATTAAAAAAAATCGAGTCTTCAGGAACTATAAAAAACCTTTGAGATATGTGTAAAATATGTAAATTTTTACAATGGAAAAAAAAACACCCCAAAAATCTGTACATCTTGACGGAAACTAAAAATCCGTTCAACCATTTTTACCCCCGCAAATCCGTACCGTACGGAAAAATCTGGCAGGGCTAATCTTATCATGCCCGTCCTTTTATATAGCGCAGAAACATGGACGATGTCTAACAAAGAAGAAAAGGATTTAGGGCTTTCGAAAGAACTATTCTACTCAAGATCTATGGCCCCGTTCGCGTAGGTGACGAGTACCGAAGAAGATGGAATAAATCATAAAAATACAACGATTGCACTGGATTGGACATATTGGACATATGGATGACGATGCTCCGGTGAAAAGATCCTTCGACTCCGCACCCATGGGTTAGGAATGAAAGCAAGTGTCCCCACGAACGCAATGGAGGGACCGGCGGACTTGTCGGCACTTGCAATGAAAAACTGGCGCAAATCCGCAAACGGTTGTAGTGCTAAATAAGAAGAAGAATTTTATTAGAATTTTTTCCAAAATGGTAATAAAGCCAAACCGAAAATCCGTAAATGGCCATAAGACAAACGCAAAACGGTCATAAAGTCTATCGCCATTGTGGTCACTTCAACGGCCATAATGTCAATTTACCTTAAGGCAATTAACCTTTTGTCACCCCAGCACCCACAGAGCTTTTCTGTAGTTAAAAAATAATATATTAAATGACTCTTGTACCGGATGCTAAAGAATGTGCAATAGGTCTTTCGTTAACGCACAGTAGAGTTGTCAAACTATCGATGGCACTATCGATAGTATCGATAGTTTCAATTTTTTTAGACTATCAATACTCATTGATAGTTTTTTCTTATACTATCAAAAATATCGATAGTTTAGTAGGACTATCGATCATCTCTACCAATTATTTTGAAATTATTTGAATTTTTTAATTTGAATTAAAATCTTTGTTTTTTAGTGTGATGCCGACGTCATATTCAAATATGCAGGCATTTAGGCCAAAATACACACATATGTTGATCGTAAATCCTGTTTTGTTTGTATAACTTGTGATTGTTTTTGAACTTTCTAAAAAGAGAAGTATTTTGGCTAAGCATTAACTTAATTTTGAATGATTATAACTTTTATAAGATAATATTTATTTCACTATGATCCTGTAAAAACAAAGCAACCGAACTGATTTAGCGCTATCGATAGTGCTATCGATAGTTTTGTTTTTTTCAAGACTATTGTGAATATTGATAGTTTTTCTGAAAACTATCAAAACTATCGATGGTGTGACTATCGATAGTTTGACACCTCTAACGCACAGGCAAGTCAAAAAATACTATCATTACAATAGGGAAAATATGTACATATGTGTGTACATTAGGGTGGTATAAAACAAGCAATAATGCTCTCACCCTCTAGGATTTTTCTATATCGAAAAAATATACCCTTATTTTTTTTAAATCAAAAAATTATTTAGAGGTCGCTCAAAGTTTTCCTTATATTTTATATGGGAAAAAACTTTTCTTAGAAATGGTATAGAATTCTTGAAAATCTTCTTGAATTTTTTCCAAAATGGTAATAAAGCCAAACCGAAAATCCGTAAATGGCCATAAGACAAACGCAAAACGGTCATAAAGTCTATCGCCATTGTGGTCACTTCAACGGCCATAATGTCAATTTACCTTAAGGCAATTAACCTTTTGTCACCCCAGCACCCACAGAGCTTTTCTGTAGTTAAAAAATAATATATTAAATGACTCTTGTACCGGATGCTAAAGAATGTGCAATAGGTCTTTCGTTAACGCACAGTAGAGTTGTCAAACTATCGATGGCACTATCGATAGTATCGATAGTTTCAATTTTTTTAGACTATCAATACTCATTGATAGTTTTTTCTTATACTATCAAAAATATCGATAGTTTAGTAGGACTATCGATCATCTCTACCAATTATTTTGAAATTATTTGAATTTTTTAATTTGAATTAAAATCTTTGTTTTTTAGTGTGATGCCGACGTCATATTCAAATATGCAGGCATTTAGGCCAAAATACACACATATGTTAATCGTAAATCCTGTTTTGATTGTATAACTTGTGATTGTTTTTGAACTTTCTAAAAAGAGAAGTATTTTGGCTAAGCATTAACTTAATTTTGAATGATTATAACTTTTATAAGATAATATTTATTTCACTATGATCCTGTAAAAACAAAGCAACCGGACTGATTTAGCGCTATCGATAGTGCTATCTATAGTTTTGTTTTTTTCGAGACTATCGTGAATATTGATAGTTTTTCTGAAAACTATCAAAACTATCAATGGTGTGACTATCGATAGTTTGACACCTCTAACGCACAGGCAAGTCAAAAAATACTATCATTACAATAGGGAAAATATGTACATATGTGTGTACATTAGGGTGGTATAAAACAAGCAATAATGCTCTCACCCTCTAGGATTTTTCTATATCGAAAAAATATACCCTTATTTTTTTCCTTATATTTTATATGGGAAAAAACTTTTCTTAGAAATGGTATAGAATTCTTGAAAATCAATATTTTTCGAAAACTCTGGTTCTCTTCAGTAGACTTCCAAAAACAATACACAATTGTTTATTTAACCTTTTTTTATACGCTTTAGTTTTTTATATTAACATATTTTTTCACTTTATATTTTCAGATCACCCTCAGAACGTTCTCGGAAAGGCTGTTGCGGCCAATGGTTTGCCGGACCCCCTCTTCGAGCCTTGATTGCTGTCGTTGCTCTGGGCGGCGTAGCTTGCGCTTTGGGAGGCGCAGCATTAGGTGCTACAGGCCTCGCAGGACCTCCCAGTTCGCACCTAACGGCTGCTCTTTTAATGATAGGTAGAATTTAAATACGTATATATACATACATAGTATTTACATATGCATAGCAAATTCTTTAAATTAAGGAAAGATAGTAATTGCGCGATATCAACTTAGCTTCATAATGATCGTAACTAAAGCATTTATACCCGCATACCGTTGCAAGACGTACTGATTTTATAAGTACACTGCTGACTTTTTAACTCTCGTACTAATTTTATTCATTTCCTTAATCAGCACGCTAATGTACTAATTTTTCAAAATTTTTACTGATTTGTACTGAATTTGCAATTCTGACCATGCAAGTTTGTAACTTGGTAACTCGGTGTTCGGTAATTTTCCCCATGTATTTTGATTGTGTAATATTATTTTACACAAATATGTGACCTGGTCTACGAAAAGGGAGCTTACGTGCGAAAACTAGTTTTCTGTGAAAAAGCTGTTAAAAGTAAGCTACTCGTTTCGTCAGCTTCTCATTATCTCGTTAATTGTTCTCCGCGCCGGACGTCCAGTAAGTGTTGTTGTTGGTCCAGTAAGTGTTGTTGTTGGTCGGAATATTATTATAGTTCATCGTGTAAGTTGCTAGTGTTGAACATTTAAAAAAGTAACACTGAAAAAGTGACGTTTTTGTACTTCTAAGCAAGTTAGGATTTTCTGCTTTTCACCACGTGAAAAAGCATCCGAATCAACCAAAAAGTGAAAATTGATTTTTTGACACCTAAGCCCCCTTTCCGTAGACCAGGTCACATATAATACTTCAGGATTTTCTCAAGGTTTTTATATAAGGTTTGAACTTCCTTAAACTGTACTGTAAAAAAGTAAGAAGAAAATAACTTATTTATAGTTGACTTGTTTTAGATAATATTTGATAAGCGCAAGAAATTAATACAACAAAAAAAAGCAATCATTTAATGGGCATATCGCCGAGTCGTTACTTACCAGTTGTAGTAATATGATGGACTATAATTTATTTAAAAAGATGGCTAACGCGTATTTGTCGAGTGTTGTTAGTTACCTCGAAAATACCTTTCATGACCGGTGGCACCAATCAATTGTAAAATTTATCAGACTGTTAAAATTTAAAATTGATTGATGCAACCGGACGTAAGTCTGATAAGTTTTAAAATTGGTTGGTGAAACTGGGGACCAGTTTAATAAAAACAAAATTGAATAATTGAATGGCTTTTGCCTACAACTTACAATTTTTCTTTCTCAATTTAATAACATTGTAAAAGAGTTTTGCATACAAATGTGGGTAAAATCGAACTATTATGCATGCTTACATGTCGTCCCGCTCCCGTATCGTCCCACAATGCTTCATTGTTACAATATTTTGTGACCCACGATTCAAAACTTGTTTTTTTGTTGTGACATCAGTTCTCACTAGGGATGTCAGTGGCAAAGATAAATCAATGTACTTCTTTGATTCGATGCATCGAAATGTACATCGATGCATCGATTTGCATAGGACTTTTCAGATATTATTTAATAGCGAAATATATTATTACCATGGGCGAAGAAAATAAGCCAGGAAAAATCCATTTTAAGCGCTTAGACAAGCACTAAAACATTGGTAAATATGTTTGCAAATATGCTCGCAAAACAATTTAGTTACAGGTTAAGGTTTTTTTATTCAGTTTATTTCAATGATTGAAAAATTACAATGGCCAATCTAGTAGGGATGGGTAGTGGGGGGTTGAAATTCGATTTTTCCGAATTTCGAACATTGCCCAACCATTCGATTATTCGATTCCAAATTTGGTGGTGCAAATTCGATTTAATTCGAATTTTTTCGACTAACTTCTTAATCGAGTTCGAAGATATTTGCGTTAAATATTTAACACCATGTCATAAAATCTATATCGTTCGTTCGGTTCTTAAAAAGGAGGTAGGTGTCAAATGAAAGGGCTTGCACTGTAGATGTGTAATATGGTTTTAGCTTTGTGCCATATGATTGTATGTAAGAAAATCAAAATCAAATTATTTAATAAGTTAAATAAATTACCCCAATATGGGTATATATCGAAATGATTTTGAATAAACTTTATTTTCTAATTACATTTAAGAGGAATGCCACTTCGGGCACCGAAATTGCGCTAATGGAAACTGTGCATTTAGAAATTATTTCGATTTCAACCGAAACTGTGCATGTATGCTTTATTTCGGTGTTTGCCATATGCATTATTTCGGTGTTTGCCATATGCATTATTTCGGTTTTCAACCGAAACTGTGCATGTATGCATTACTACGGGTTTTCATATGCATTAATTCGGTGTTTGCCATATGCATTATTTCGGTTTTCAAACGAAACTGTGCATGTATGCATTACTTCGGGTTTTCACATGCATTATTTCGGTTTTGAACCGAAATTGTGCAAGTATGCCATATGCACAATATGGATAATTTCGTTTTTTTTCTAATATGAATTATTTGCTTCTACTTAGTAAGGGTTTTAGTCCCTAAGCGCGGCCGAAGGCCGCCTAAGCAGAGAGAAGTTCTGCGCAAAAATACTTCCGCCCTTCTTTTCCGGTAATACAGAAAGGAGAGTTCTACTTCGAAAGGGTTATAATCCCTAAGCGCGTCCGAAGGCCGCCTACGCAGAAAGAAGTTCTGCGCAAAAATACTTCCGCTCCCCTTTTCCGGCAACACAGAAAGGAGAATTCTACTTAGTAAGGGTTATAATTCCTAAGCTGCGTCCGAAGGCCGCCTACGCAGAAAGAAGTTCTGCGCAAAAATACTTCCGCTCCCCTTTTCCGGCAACACAGAAAGGAGAATTCTACTTAGAAGGCCGCCTACGCAGAAAGAAGTTCGTTTTCATGTATGCACTATTTCGTTTTTGTCATATGCATTATTTCGGTTTTAAGTCGAAACTGTGCACGTATTTATGCATTACTTCGTTTTTCTCATATGCGTTATTTCGGTTTTCAAACGAAAGAGTGCATATGCATAATTTCGGTTTTTCTAATATGCATTATTTCGGTTTTTTTCGTATGCATTATTTGGGTTTTTATACCCGAGCGCACTTGTGCAAAAGGGTATATTAATTTTGTTCACATAACGGTTGTTTGTAACAGCCAAAACGAATCGAGATAGATATAGATAAATGTATACATAAATGCTCAGAATGAATAGAGAAATCGATTAAGCCATGTCTGTCTGTCCGTCCGTCCGTGTACACGATAACTCGAGGAAAAATTGAGATATCTCAACGAAATTTGGTATGCAGATTCCTGTTAATCCAAGATAGGTTGGTATTGAAATGGGCGAAATCGGACTGTAACCACGCCCACTTCCCATATAACGGTAATTTCCAGAAATACGAAAACTGCGATATTTTAGTAACTACTGAAGATTATTCACTCAAAATTGATATTTGCCACAACTTTTAGACGAAAAATAAGAATATTAGAAATTTTTGGAAAATGGGCGTAGCCACGCCTACTTATGGTTACATATGTATATCTTGGCAACCGCTGCACCGATGTCATCCAAACTTGGCACAGTTCTTGGGCTTGGTACAGCATACTAAATGGCCGAAAATTTTTAAAATCGGACAATGACCACGCCCACAGTCCATATAAGGTTTATTTAGAGAAATACGAAATCTTCGATAAATCAGTAAATATTAAAGCTAATTTATTCAAAATTTACGCTTGCAACAATTCTTTACCAAAAAATACGTTTACGTTAAAATTTTGGAAAATGGGCGTGGCACCGCCCACTTATGATCACATATATGTATATCGGTAACCGTTGTACCAATTTGTACCAAACTCGGTATTTTTATTGTGCTTGCCACGTAAAAGCAAAACGTTGAAAATTATTGAAATCGAACTAAAATTACGGCCACTTTTCATATAACTGTAAATTTCAGAAATGCTTGAAAATGCAATATTTCGAAATTTAAGGACGCTAATTTACTCAAAATTGATACACCCCGGCTTACCATCTAGCGGTAGGTTTCGGAAAGGTGAAAAAAAACATACATA